TTTATAGTAGTAACGGGGGGGGGGGGGTGAATCTTCCTAAGGGGGCACAGACAGACTGGCAAGAGTTCTAACCTTCACTGCTTTATCACAAATTAAAGTGCAACTATACTCACTTCCCCTCCAGTGAAGTGACATCCATGAAGTCCCTCACTGACGCCGACATCTTCACCTTTTCTTTTTCCAGGTTTAGGATCTTCAGCCATCTTGATTGGCTGTGCCGGGATTACACAACTCATTCATTCATCCCGGCATATGCCAAAATTGTACACTGAGCCGCACAGCCAGAAGATCACGAACAGGCAAGTCAGAGCCCTTTATTACAGAAGAGACACGTCTGCAATGAAAATTCTGCCTTTTTTGTAAAGATCTACTTTAACCTTTATATAAAGCATCTGCTCCAGAATGATCTTCAAGGCTGTACGTCTATCTTTGTGCAAGCACAGATCATCATCAGAGAGATTGAACAATACCAGAAGCTGGCTATATTTCTTCAATTTGATATTTTAGGAATTACAGTGAAAATGTCTACTTCTCCTCACTGAAAAAAATGGATCACAGGTATACCATTCCTACACTGCTTACTAAATGTTGATGGGTATTGAGATGAACTTGTATGCTTACTAAATGTTGATGGGTATTTAGATGAACTTGTACTTCATATTAAACATTAAATAGAATGTTTGAAGACAACATGCCTGTTATTGGCATTTTGTATCCAGGAAAGCCTCTCCCGTGCTAATTTCTTGCTTTTACTTTGTTTCTGGCTTTATATTTAAGCCCTGCCAACTGCCATTAAGCTGTTCAATGGGACTACTTCAATGGACAGTATGGGTAGTCCTATTGGATTGATGAAGCTTAGCCATGAATAAGGGAAAACCAGGTCCCAATAATGAAGTGAAACTAAACCAGGGAAGTGCACAAAAGAGGCTTTTCTTGCTAAAAAAAAAAAAAAGTAAACTACATGTATACCTATAAAGCAAACTTCAGCCTGCTGCACCACTTAAATAAAACATAGAACTAGAAGCCAGTGGAGCGATTGGCAGAGAGAGATTGATGGCACAGCACAGCCTGGCAGCAACATCCATGATAGATTGAAGGGAGGATAGCCTGCTTAGAGGTAGGCCAATGGGGAGGGAGCAATTATCATAGCAAAAGATCATAGCAGACTGGTGGGGTCCAGTGAGGGCTTTTTAAGTAAGGGGATGACCAGAGCATGTTTTAGATGGTAGGAAGAGAACCAGTAGAGGGAAAAAGATTTGAAGCTGGGAGGAAGAGAGCGTAGAATAGAGCAGTTTTGAGGGAATGTAGTTTTGAGGCAGCGCGTTTCGAAGTATTAACACTTCTTTTTCAAGCCGGCCTCATTTGTTCTCCCATAACGGTACACACCGCTGCATTCTGTCTCACCGCCTATCACCAGCCTCACTCTCCCCAGCAACTCAACTTTTCTTTGAACTACTTATTTGGAGGATGTCAACGCCTTTCGAGTCTTGCAAGTGAAAAAAAAGACAACACAATGAAAAGCAGAGCAAGCCGTTTTAATTTTATTCATGTACTGGTAAATTTTATGTAGAACAGGCTTTGGATTTACAAAGCTAAGATTCACCAACACATAGCAAATGTTTGTTCTTTATGCCCTTGTGAATGAAGCCATAGGATATATTTTGTATGTGAGCCTCTATATTGACACGTATGCAATGGTCAATTAGTTTTTGCAAACTTTATGTTTTACAAGTGATGGCCAGTTTTGTCTACCAAAATACTTGTAAACCTAAAGTGGGGGGATTATTTTTTCCCCCCATTTTTATATTACTGATGTTAAAAGATAGTTCCACCATTGGAGTATGTTTTCTGTGATCAATGTAATAATGATAGGTCACATTTTTTTAGCATCATAATAGTTGTTTTATTAAAGAGGACCTCCCCAACTGATCATACTATTAAGGTTATTTTTACTTATGTGGTTACCAACTTGTATTTACTACCCGAAAGCCCTTATGATCCCTTTGTTTTCTACAGTCCAGAACTCCTACTGCTGACTCTCCTTTACTTCTGTGCTGCCATGTGAAAGCCAGCTTACTCTTCCTGGATTCTTAAGCCAGCCTACTGATGAAGAGATCTGGCACCAGATATTCTAGATTTTTTCTTACTTTCGGCAATATGAGCATCAACATTCTTGTGAGATTTTGAACCCAGTGTAAACTGCTTTTTGCATGTGGTAATGTAGATTTCTCAGAAGGCTACAGGCAGGTTCCATTGATTTCAGCAATGCCTAGACCAAAGGGCCAGAAATCAAAAAGAATCCTATAAGTAATTTTATATATTTAGTTGTTTTTTTAAAATGGATATCCAATTCAACTAGTAACTGCGGGAAAGTGGGTTTATATGTGAAGCCTAGGGCCCGGTTGATGTCCAGGGGGCCAGTTACAACCTTCATGCTTCTGCAGTAAAGCAGTGGAATATTATTATCCTTTAAAGCTGTGTGCCTGCCTGTCACGGCAGATAATGCACTTATGTTCTGTTCATGTCTGATGGGGTGGGCTATGCCAGCACAGACAAAGCAGATGGGGTGGATTCTCTGTGCCTAGTGTAGTCCTTATTAATGTCACTTGCAAAGATGAGGCCAAAGCGACTACCTTGTCTAGGGCCCTATCCTGCCTTCATCCCTTTCTGGCTCTGGTTTACACCTGTCTGTGAGCAATGCCTAGACTAAAGGGCCAGAAGTCAAGAGACTCATTATTTGTTTTTGTAATAGATATCCAATTCAGCTAGTGACTTTGCAAGGAGGGAAGGGAGCTGGTAACTCAGGGAAGTATGATGTTAGATTAAGAACAGGGCTTGGTTGATGTCCAGGGGGCCAGTTACAACCTTCATGTTTCTGCAGCATACCAATGTAAAAGGATCATTGGTCAAAGCTGTGCACAACGGATGATACACTTGTAGACGGTGTCTGATGGGGTTGGGCACAATAGTGCAGACAATGCAGATGGAGCAGCTTTTCTGTGCCTAGTGCAATCCTTATTAGTATAATTTGAAGAGATCAGGAGGCCAAAGTGGCTACCTTGCCTAAGGCCCGATTCTGCCTTAATCTGTCCCTGAGTTTACAGCTGCTGGACCTACCTGTAGCCAAGGTTCACT